GGCTATTTTTTGGTTGCAGCCGTCATTGTTGTTTGGCGGGTCTGGGCTGGATTCGAACCTGCCACCTTAGGTGTATGTGGCTGGAACCTTAGCCACTTGAGCCACAGGTGCCGAGCCGCTTCCTAGATATTCTAAGCAAATCCTGAAGGTGAAAGGAGAGTTGGCAAATCTGAACTCACCACGTGAAGCCAACTCCGAACATTATGTCCATTAAGACTGTACTACTGAAAGTGTGCTATGGACCAGCAGTGGGAGCATAATCTGAGAACCTGTTAGAAATGCCAATTCTCAGGCCAGGTGTGGTAGCTTAACGCCTATAATCCTAGCATTCTGGGAGGCTGAGGAGGTTGGATCCCTTGAACTCAGGAGTTGGAGACCAGCCTGAGCAGGAGCAAGACCCCATCTCTACTAAAAAAAGTAGAAAAACTAGCTGGGTGTTGTGGTGAGCACCAGCTAGTTGGGAGGCTGAGGCAAGATGATGGCTTGAACCTAGGAGTTTGGGGTTGCTGTCAGCTATGATGCCACCATAGTCTACCCAGGGCACAGAGTGAGACTCTATCTAAAAAAAAGAATAAGAAATGCCAATTCTCAGCCTCTACTCCAGACATACTTAATCAGAAACTCTCAGATTGTGGTCTAGGAATTTATTCTAGTTTTCCAGATGATTCTTATTCTTTTTTTTTTTTTTGGCGGGGCCTAGGTTTGAACCTGCCACCTCTGGCATATGGGGCCGGCACCTTACTCCTTTGAGCCACAGGCACCGCCCGATTCTTCTTTTTAAAATTTGTTTTTGTAGGCTTGGTGCTTATAGCTCAAGCAGCTAAAGCGCCAGCCATATACACCAGAGCTGATGGGTTGGAATCCAGCCTGGGCCTGCCAAACAACAATGACAACTCCAACCAAAAAATAGCTGGGTGGCTCGGCGCCTGTGGCTCAAGTGGCTAAGGCGCCAGCCACATACACCTAAGGTGGTGGGTTTGAATACAACCCAGGCCTGCCAAAACAACAATGACGGCTGCAACCAAAAAATAGCCGGGTGTTGTGGTGGGCACCTGTGGTCCCAGCTACTTGGGAAGCTGAGGCAGGAGACTTGCTTGAGCCCAGGAGTTGGAGGTTGCTGTGAGCTGTGATGCCATGGCACTCTACCCAGGGGGATAGCTTGAGGCTCTGTCTCAAAACAAAAAAACAAAAAATAGCTGGGCATTGTCGCGGGCGCCTGTAGTCCAGCTACTTGCGAGGCCGAGACAAGAGAATCACTTGTGCCCAGGAGTTGGAGGTTGCTATGAGCTGTGATGCCATAGCACTCTACCCAGGGCAACAGCTTGAGACTCTGTCTCAGAAAAAAAAAAAAAATGTTTTTGTAGAGACGTCTTGCTATGTTGCCCAGGCTTGTCTCAAACTCCTAGCCTCAAGCAGTCCTCTCACTTTGGCCTCCCAAAGTGCTGGGATCACAGGTGTGAGCCAACCATAGCTGGCAAGATGATTCTTAAACATGCTGAACATTGAGAAATGCCACTAAAAACTATCTTCACGTTTACAAAACATGTAAGTATGGTATTTCTGTTTAAAGAAAGTCACCTGCATGAGCAGTACAATCTGTCATTTCTTTTTTTTTTAAGATGGAGCCTCAAGCTATTCCCCTGGGTAGAGTGCCATGACATCACAGCTCAGAGCAACCTCCAACTCCTGGGCTCAAGCGAGTCTCCTGCCTCAGCCTCCCAAGTAGCTGGGACCACAGGCGCCCACCACAACGCTCGGCCATTTTTTGGTTGCAGCCATCATTGTTGTTTGGCGGGCCCGGGCTGGGGATTTGAACCCGCCACCTTAGGTGTTTGTGGCTGGCACCTTAGCCACTTGAGCCACAGGCACCAGCCAAATCTGTCATTTCTGAGTAAAAAGACCACCACTGAGAACCAGAGGCTTGGCGTCATTCGCTGGAAATGACGGGCCTCTGCAGCCTCCACTGTGCCATCCCTTGCACTCTTCACAAGGTTAGTGAAGAGCAAATGACACAAAAGACAGGGTGTTGCCTCATAAGCTATGATATGCTATAAAAATCATTCAAACAATAAGGTAAGAGGTACTTAAGTGTAGTTATGGCATCAGCATGGCCACAGTGCTGATATTTCCAGTGGAACTGGAATTTTGGTAAGAATTAGTACAAATAAAAGATTAATTTGCAAACTTATTATATATTTATAGCAATCAAGAGAGTGTGGTACTGGCATAAGGATAGACATACAAATGAATGGAACAGAATTAAAGACACAAAAGTAAACCTTTACATTTATGGTCAATTGACTTTTTTTTTTTTGGAGATAGAGTCTCACTATGTTACCCTCAGTAGAGTGCTTTGGTATCATAGCTCACAGCAACCTCAAACTCTTGGGCTTAAGCAATCCTCTTGCCTCAGCCTCCCAAGTAGCTGGGACTACAGTTACAGCCCACCACAACACCCAGCTATTTTGTTTGTTGTTGCAGCCGTCATTGTTCTTTAGCTCACCCAGACTGGGCTCAAACCCACCAGGCTCAGTGCATGTGGCTGGTGCCATAACCACTGAGCTATGGGTGCCAAGCCAATTTTTTTGTTTGTTTTTTTGAGACAGAGTCTTACTTTGTTGTCCTCTGTAGAGTGCCATGGTGTCACACCTCACAGAAACCTCAAACTCTTAGGCTTACGGAGATTCTCTTGCCTCAGCTTCCCTGGTAGCTGGGACTACAGGTGCCCGCCACAATGCCTGGCTATTTTTCAGAGACAGGGTATCGTTCTTGCTCAGGCTGGTCTCGAACACCTGAGCCCGGGCACTCACCTGCCCCGGCCTCCCAGAGTGCTGGATTACAGGCGCGAGCCACCGCACCGGCCCTCAGTCTGTGGTATTCTATTGAGGAAGCCCAAGCAGACTAATAGCTACTAAGTCAATTCAATGGGAAAAATATCATCTTAGCAACAAATGTTGCTGAGACAACTGGATATCCCCATGCAAAAGAAGGAAGGTAGGTGTATCCCCTATCTCATACCACATACAAAAATTAGCTCAAAATGGATCACAGATCTCAATGGAATGAAAAATTAAAAAGCTGTTAGAAGAAAATATAGTAGTTTCTGTGGTTCGAACGTTCCCTCAAAAGTTCATGTGTTGGGTCTCGGTGCCTGTAGCTCAGGCTAGGGCGCCAGCTACATACACTGGCACTGGTGGGTTTGAACCTGGCCCGGGCCTGCCAAACAACAAAGACAACTACAACAAAAAAATAGCCAGGTCTTGTGGTGGGTGCCTGTAATCCTAGCTACTCAGGAGATTGAGGCAAGAGAATTGTTTAAGCCCAAGAGTTTGAGGTTGCTATGAGCTGTGATGCCACAACACTCTACTGAGGGTGAGTAAAAAAAAAGTTTGTTTGTTGGAAACTTAATCCCTCTGCCTTCATGAATAGATTAATGTCACTATCACAGGACTGGGTTTGATATGACTTGCCCTCTCATCATGAGATGTTGTCTGCCATATTATGACACAGCCAAGAAGGGCCCAACCAGGGGCCAGCACTATGCTCCAAGACATCCCAGCTTTCAGAACCATAGCTAAATAACTTCTTTCATTATGAATTATCCAGTCTATTCTATTCTGTTATAGTAACAGAAATCAGTAGTAAATTTTTGTAATTTGGGGTAAGGCAATGGTTTCTCAGATATGACACCAAACATATAAGTAACAAAAGAAATAATAGATAAATTGGATTTCATCAAAATTAAAAACTTGTACTTGCAGGGACACCATTAAGAAAGCACACATAGGCTCGGCGCCTATAGCTAAACCGGCTAAGGCGCCAGCCACGTACACCTAAGGTGGCGGGTTCGAATCCCCAGCCCGGACCCGCCAAACAACAATGA